AACAATACAAACATATTATCTGGCAGTCAGAAGTAAAACACTAGTCTCACTAGGCTAAGATGAAAGTGTTGGCAGAACTTCATTCCCTTCTGGAAGCTCTAAGAAAGAATCTTCAGGTTTTAAGAGGTTGCTGTGTTCTTTTGAGTCATGGCCTCCTTGTTCCTCCTTCAAATCCAGGGACATTGTACCTCTCTGACACTTCTTCCTTAATCACATCTCCCTATGACTCTGCTCCAGCTCCCTCTTCACTTTTAAGGAACCTTGTTATTAGAGGGGCTTACCCAGATAATCCAGCATACTCACCCTATTTTAAGACCATCTGTTCAGCAACCTTAATTCCATCTGCAAATTTAATTCTCATTTTCCACCGACCTGACATATTCACAAATTCTGAGATTATAACCTAAATATCATTGGAGGACTAGTATTCTGCCTATCACAATGGCAGCCACTATTTTAACTTCTAGTATCATAAATTAGTTCTAGTCTTCAGTTGGATATAAATGGAATCATACAGTATATATTCTTCTGTTGTCTTTCTTCTTTCAGTTACATGTTTTTGAATTTTATCTCTATGAGCAATAGTTTGAGATTTTTGTTTTGTTTTGTTTTTTGGTTTTTTTTGAGTTGGAGTCTCACTCTGTCGCCCAGACTGGAGTGCAGTTGCCGCTCCCGGGCCACCGCAGCCTCGACTGCTGGGCTCCGGCGATCATCCGCCTCAGCCTTCTGAGTAGCCAGAATTACAGGCATGCGCTACCACGCCCGGCTGATTTTCTGATTTATTGTAGAGATGAGGTCTCGCTGCCCAGGCGGGTCTCGAACCCGCGGGCTCAGGCCATCCACTCACCTCAGCCTCCCAAAGGCGCGGATTACAGGCTGATGGAGGTACATTTAAAGAGCTATGTTCCCTCACTGAATTTAAAATATAGTGAGTCAGACAGAAATTTAGCAGATTACTACACAAATAACTCTGGATAAGTAGCAGGAAGAAAAATCACTGGGTCCAGGGGGCTTATGGGAAGGAGAGCCTCATCGAGCCCAGAGGTGAGGCTTCCCTGACAAAGTGTCACTTAGGCTGAGGCCTGAAGGATGAGGGTCAACCCCGTGGAGAAGGAAGAGGAACATGTCAGGAGCGTGGGCAGCCTAGGGGCAGGGCTTGGGACGGAAGGGAGTCTGGCATCTAGAGGTGAGAGCAGCAGAGGTCTTCAGGGAAGAGCAGCGGGTGATCTTAGCGGGGGGGGGGGGCGAAGCCTCTGAAGGCATCTGCTCTGGCTGCTGTGACATTAACTTGGAGGGAGGGGGGACAGGGAGATACTGCAAGTCCCTGCAGCGTCAGCTGGGTCTAGGGCGGTGGCAGTGAAGTTGGGGAGAGGAAGACAGATTCAAGATATAGTTCCAAGGTAGGCTCAGTAGGACCAAGTGGTGGACTGGATATTAGGTGTGATGAGGAAGAAGGTACCCCAGTCGTATCAAGTACCCTAAAACTCAGAGTTGCAATGCATTACTTAGTAATTAATAAGTAATTATTTGAGGGGAGGACAGGGAGCAAGATAAACAGCATTCTGCTACCGTTTCTCCCAATGGTAGGAGTGACTTGTCCCTAAAAAGCTAAGAATCTTTTTTTTCTCTTGCAGCTAAAAAATACCCAATTTAAGACCCATCAAGAAGTCCCACAGATCACCTTTCTGCGTCCCTGCCTCCTGGCACAGTAAATAGCCATGTCTAATTCTCCCATGTCACTTCTGTGCTACATTTGCAAACTCTGAATGAACTGTGGCTGTTCTGCAATGATTTACACCCTTATTTGGCGAGGCCCTGAGCTATAAAATTTTAAAATGACAGACTACTTCCATGGTGTATGGTTTCCGTTCATCCCAGAACAACTCATAAATCATCACAGGAGCAGTTAGCAGACCACGGCTGTAGGGCTTGGTGTTTTTAAGAGTGAAAGAGAACATTCTATTTTAACAAAAACGAAGGCTTAATTTTCAAATTAACAAAGGAACCAAGGCGCCCTCTGATGGCAAAACGACTCAATGCTCTATTTTGTAATTTGGCTTAAGTTGTGGTAAATTCGTTAAGGAATTATGAACAGACTGTTTTGAAAAGGCTTTATAGTTTCCTAATGTTTGTCCATCAGTTTTGTCTCTTCTCTGCATCATTTAAGCTGTATTCTAAGAGGCTTCTTGTTTGTTGGTGAAGGGATGTTGGGGCTTTGTCTGGAATGGTCACTGCAGTGTTTCTTTTCCTTAGGTCTCCAGCCATGGCTGGGGGGTTGTTTGCCATCGAACGAGAGTTCTTCTTTGAACTGGGTCTCTATGATCCAGGTCTCCAGATTTGGGGTGGTGAAAACTTTGAGATCTCATACAAGGTAACATTTTATTTAACCATGCAGTTTTTAAAGTAGTTACTGAGTTTTATGACTTTCAGATAAAGCTGGTTTCTTGTGGGGGGAAAAAAAGACTATATAATGCATTCCTCCAAATTATAAAGTTTGACTTAACAAAACAGGCCTTGGGGTAAAAATTAAGGCAAAACGCAGGCTCTAAATTTACCATGTACTCCCAGCTCGGAACTGTGGCCAGCAAACCTCAAAAGAACGAAAATACCTGTTCCCCGAACCACCTTCTAGGCTCCCAGGACGACCAGAGCCTTGTGTTATAGAAGCCCTTGGGAGCAATTGCCAGTACTGCCACTGACCATCCACTGACGTGGTCACCCTTTGTCACTGTAGGACACGGTGATTCAAGACAGAAGCAGCCGGGCTCGGTGGCTCAGCCTGTAATCCCCCGCCTTTGGGAGGCTGAGGTGAGT